GTCGCCAGAGCACCTGTTTGTCTCGGGGGAAGTTCAGAGGGTGTGGGTGGGGGGGGGGGGGGGGGGGGGGGCGGGGTCAGGTGACACGGTACTCCCAGCTATGACAGCAGAGTCACTGGAATTAAGACAAATTTAGAAAGGTCTCTGGTGAGCAGATATCCCCGCCCTCCAATGCAACACCAAAGCTCACTGCTCCACTCCCCTCCCCCATACCTAAACACCCACTCACCACACGTTTCCAGCAGCCAACATGCAAACAAGTTGGATGTGAAACTCAAACTGCAAAAAGCACCACGGCCCATTTGGCATTAAGTTGCAGGGGTGGATGACAACAGATTGCATTGCTGAAAGGAGGTCAGGGGGGAAGACAATTGATTGACCTGCACAAAGGGATGTGAACAGCACACAACCTGTGGGAAATCACAACTGTGTGGGTGTGTAATATGGAAGTAAATCTGTGTCATCAGAAAGAAAAAGGTGATTGAATTTCTAGCACTGAATTATGCATTGAAATCATGCATCTGAATGTTTTCCAACGTTAAAATATTCAACTGTAAATAATTCAACCGCAAAAAATTCAATGCAAAAATTCAACCTCAAAAAATTCAACCGCAACATCCGGGAACCCAAGGAAGAGTAATTGATGCTAGATTCAAGATCGGGAGCGTGCGTAGCGCAAAAGGAGCGAGCGCCCCAATACAACTTTGGCTTGTCGACTATGATGACCGGATTTCAGCCATTGAGTGTTTTAACTTGCCATCAGTGTGGTTTGCCGCTGCAGCGTAGTGGTGTGGGGGGGGGGGGGGGGGGGGGGGGGCAGGGGCTTTAGCGGAGCGTGTGCAGAAGCTTAACCCCGACAGTACGTGCAGGTTATGCTGTTTACATGCACGACCTTTGCATGTCCAACGGTGATGGGGCTTGATAAAGTGAAACTAGTATCACAACTTCTACTCAACTGTCTTTACTTTAAAGAACTTTTTTAAAATGCAGTGACAGATCACAATCTCTGCTTCACAACTGTAAGGTCGTATGGGACAATAAACCTTTTTGTCACACTATAATGTGTATATGTCCGATATGTTCATGTTTTTGGTGGGGGTTTTATGATACTATTTAATATATGACATCATACTGAGAGCTTGAAAAAACAACGTCATCTCGTTTAACTTCCGCTTAGTTCATGTCCTATACAGTCAGTTAATGTACAAACGTCAGGTGTCTATTACTGAATCTTACAGACACAAACCACACCGCATAACCTGCATGTACTGTCCGGGTTATGCGTCTGCACCCGCTCCGCTAAAGCCGCTGCCCCTCCCTACGCTGCAGCGGCTCATCAGGAATCAGGAAACATTTATCGCCAAAATATGTCATACATACAAGGAATTTGTCTTAGCGGTTGGTGCGTAACAGTAGACAGTGTAACAATAAACAACAAGAAAACAATCAAATGAAATAAAATGAAATGCTAATGCTATGGGTTAGTATAAAATAAGAGAATAAAGTTAAAGTTTAAAAATATTTTTAAAATAATATTAAAAAATTAAGTGCACAAAGTGACGAGTGATGACAAAGTGACAGTTAAAGTGACCTGTGCAGTATGAAGGAGAGTGACCGGTGGGATGTCAGAGTCAGTCAGTGGGGGACCGGGCTCAGTGGCGGGAGGTCTTATTCCTGATGGACCTCAGCCTCCTGCCAGATGGAAGGGGCACAAACAGTTTTTGTCCGGGGTGAGAGGGGTCGGGATCTTTTTAGCTCGCTTCAGGGTCCTAGAAGCGAACAAGTCCTGCAGGGACGGCAGATTGCAGCCGATCACCCTCTCTGCAGAGCGGACGACACGCTGCAGCCTGCCCTTGTCCTTGGCTGTGGCTGCAGCGTACCGGACGGTGATGGAGGAGCAGAGTATGGACTCGATGATGGCCGTGTAGAAGTGAACCATCATCGTCTTTGGCAGGTTGAATTTCTTCAGCTGCCTCAGGAAGAACAACCTCTGCTGAGCCTTCTTGGTGATGGAGCTGATGTTCAGCTCCCACTTGAGGTCCTGGGTGATGATGGAGCCCAGGAAACGGAAGGAATCCACTAGTGACGGGGGAGTCACACAGGGTGATGGGGGAGGGTGGGGCTCTGTTTCTTCGGAAATCCACAAACATCTTCACTGTCTTTAGAGCGTTGAGCTCCAGGTTTTTCTGGCTGCACCACGACACCAGATGGTCAGACTCCCACCTGTAGGCGGACTCATCCCCACCGGAGATCAGTCCAATGAGGGTGGTGTCATCCGCAAACTTCAGGAGCTTTACGGACTGGTGACTGGAGGTGCAGCTGTTGGTGTACAGGGAGAAGAGCAGACGAGGCTGAGACATGTTTCCCCAGCTTCACGTGCTGCTTCTTGTCAGACAGGAAGTCTGTGATCCACTTGCAGGTGGAGTCGGGCACGTGTAGCTGAGAGTTTGTCCTCCAGCAGATACGGGATGATGGTCCCGGTCCAGGAGGGGGTCGGTGAGGGTCTTCAGGTGGGTCAGGACTAGCCGTTCAAAAGACTTCATGACTACAGAGGTCAGGGTGACGGGTCTGTAGTTATTGAGTCCTGTGATCCTGGGCTTCTTGGGAACAGGGATGATGGTGGAGGCCTTGAAGCACGCTGGTACGTGGCATGTCTCCAGGAAGGTGTTGAAGATGTCAGTGAACACCGGAGACAGCTGGTCAGCACAATGCTCCAGGGTGTGAGGGGAGACGGAGTCCGGGCCGGCTGCCTTACAGGGGTTTTGTCTTTTGAAAAGCCGGTTAAAGTCAAGGTTAAGGTCATTGCTGGTGGGGGAGGGGAAGGTGATATAGTAGAGGCGTGAGCCCCTGATGGGCTGGGGGAGGGAGGGGAGGGGGACTGGGGCCGGTTGGTGGAGCTGTGGGGGATGGGTTCAGGACATTGTCTATAGAATCTGCAGTAGAACTCATTCAGCTCGTCTGCCAGGCGGAGGTCATTCATGGAGTGGGGGGTTTTGGCTTGTAGTTTGTGAGGTGTTTGAGGCCTCTCCAGACCGAAGCAGAGTCACTTGCTGAGAACTGTTGTTGGAGTTTCTCAGAGTACAGTCGTTTAGTATCTCTCACTGCCTTGCTATACTTGTATTTTGACTCTGTGTACAAGTCTTTGTCCTCACTCCTAAATGCCTGATCCTTCTGCAGACGTAGTGTTCTGAGTTCTGCTCTGAACCAGGGTTTGTCGTTGTTGTAACTCACCCTGGTGCATAATGGTACACAGCTGTCCTCATAGAAGCCAATCTAAGAAGATACAGCCTCTGTGAACTCATCCAGACTGTCGGTAGCAGTCCTGAAACCATCCCAGTCTGTGCAGTCAAAGCACGCCTGAAGATCCTCCAGCGCCTCACTGGTCCACTTCTTGAATTCCCTCACCACAGGTTTGCAGAGCTTTAGTTTCTGCCTGTATGCAGGAATCAAGTGGACCATGACGTGGTCAGAGTGTCCCAGTGCAGCGCGAGGGACGGCGTGATAAGCCCTGCTTACTGTGGTGTAACAGTGATCCAGCGTGTTCTCCTCTCTGGTGGGGCATTTAATAAACTGTCTGTACTTAGAAAGTTCATGGGTGAGATTTCCTTTGTTAAATTCCCCGAGGACAATGACTAAGGAATCCGGGTTGGTCCGCTCCACACGCCGTATCTGGTCGGCGAGTGTCCGCTGTGCCTCGTGCATGTTTGCCGCCGGAGGGATGTAAACACCGACCAGGATGAATGAAGTGAACTCACGGGGGGAATAAAATGGTTTGCAGTTGATGAAGAAAGTTTCCAGATCAGGAGAACAGTGTTGTAGGATTACCATTACGTCGTTGCACCAGCTGGTGCTGGAGTAGAAGCAGATTCCTCCACCCTTTGTCTTGCTGGAGAGCTCCGTGTCACGGTCCGCTCTGAGCAGCTGGAAGCGTGGAGTCCGGTATCAATCCGCAGAGTCACGTCTCCGTGAAGCACAAAACGGAGGATGTAGAAAAGTCTGTTACTCCTCACCGGCAGTTGAATTTCGTCCAGTTTGTTGCACAGTGAGCGCACGTTGGAGAGAAAGATGCCTGGCAGCGGTGTGTGAGAACCACGCTTGCGGAGTCAGCCCGTTTTCCTCTCCTACGGCGTCTCACCGCGTGACAAAAGGTGAGGTTTCAAAACTCCGCCAATCACTCCTAATAGCTTGTCGAAGCATCCCAGCATGAGCTGCCTATTACTGAATCTTACAGACACAAACCACACTGATGGCATAAAGTTAAAGTTAAAACACTCAATGGCTGAAATCTGGTCATCATAGTCAACAAGCCAAAGTTGTATTGGGGTGCTCACTCCTTTTGCGCTACGCACGCTCCCAATCTTGAATTTAGAATCGATTGCTCTTCCTTGGGTTCCCGGATGTTGCGGTTGAATTTTTGCATTGAATTTTTTGAGGTTGAATTTTTGCATTGAATTATTTGCGGTTGAATTTTTTGCAGTTGAATATTTTAACGTTGAAAAACATTCAGATACATGATTTCAATGCATAAATATTCAGTGCTAGAAATTCAATCACCTTTTTCTTTCAAAATCCGATGACACAGATTTACTTCCATAGTGTAAAGACAAAACTAAGACAGACTTTCTGTCGCTCTCCTGTGGCGTGGCATAGATCTCCTTCAGGAGCTCCGACGAAGCCTCACCGCCCCACCCCGTCAGTTGCAGGATAAGGAGAGAGCAGCCTGAATTAGGCGAACAAAATAATTCACTTTAAACGGTCAAAAAGAACATCTTATTGCGCGTGTTTTTAAGGGAGTCGCGTCACGTCCCCTGCCCGTACCCCCTCCCCCGTGCGCACGGTTTTTTCTACTCCCATTAGATCCGCACCGCTTTTCTGCGCCACCGAACATCAACAATCGATTGAACAAAACAATCCTCGCTCAGCGTGTGTGTGTAGGCGGCGGTTGTTTCTTTCTTATTGTGGCTGCATATCTCACCCCTTTAAGGCGGCCCGAGTCTTACCGTGTCGACGCTCCCCAGCACGGCGGTGCCCAGAGTCTGGAGCGGAGGAGGCTGCTCTCGGGTGGCTCCCTCCGACGCCATCTTTGTACTGTGGCGGTGTCCGCGTGGAGCGGGGGCTCTCCGGTGCCCCGCAATTATCGCGCTGCTGCGCGTAAATCACATCGGGAGGGAAGGGGAGAGAGAGAGAGCAGGAGAGGGGGGGCAAAGAGAGAAAGATAATTTGAGGGAGCCGTGATTAAAGGTGGGTCTCCCCCTGAGGGGGAAGTGGAGAAATGCGGAGCCCCCCCCCGCCCCCACTGCGCTCCCGTCCGGAGAAGAAGCGCGTACGACGGGACTGACAGCAGCATTTGTCGTGGACAAAACAAATATCTGGACAAAGTGCTTTAAGGAAAAACATGTATTTTAAGTACAAGTGGGACAGAATTTAAATCAATCAAAGTCATTTAAATTGTAGAATATAAGGTCTGGCTTAATGCTGAATTGGTTCATCCTAGTTAAGCCATGTAAGGTCAATGCAAATCATGTCGTTACACTTAACTAATCAAATTAGTCAGATTATATGATATTGTTTTCATGTTGACAGAATGCATTCGTCAACATCAGCAAAGGAAGCGTGAGGATCGGTGCAGCGGACTAAGAGACACCCAGTGAGCTGGACCTGTCAGACCGAAACCACCAAACGGCCCCGGACAGGAGCAGTGTTAATTTTGGCAGCTATTTTTGATTTAGTCTTAGTCTTTAGACGAAAATGCATATTAGTTAAAGTCACGTTTAGTCATTTTAATCCTTCTTAGTTTTATTCTAGTTTTCGGCGACGAAAACATTTTAGTCTAGTTTTAGTCACATTTAATAGCCATATTGAACTCTTTTCTTTTCTTCCCTTCTCAAGCCCAGGGACCCCCTGTGTTGTGTCTACAGCTGCATAATAGTCTAGTTTGCAGTACTTGGTTGTCCATTAGATGTCCTTCCTAGGACAGGTCTATAGCAGGGGTCAGCAAACCTTTTGACTCACGGGCCATAATGGGTTGTAAAATTTGACGGAGGAGCCGGGCCAAGAACAAATGGTTGAAGTGTTTGTGTGAGCTAATATAAATGACATGTGAAAAATCATTACATGAAAGGATTTGGATTTGAACAAATAGCAAAGCATTTATTTGCAAGGCAATTTCACAAATTGGCAAAGGTGTAACAACTTCATGAGGACCAGGGATCTAAACGCAACACTTTGTTGTCTGGACCCCCACTTTTCATTCTAGAGTCTTTTCTTTCTCTTCGTTTATTTTTTGGTTTTATGACCAGTTCTTCTCTCTTGTGTCCTGCTGGTTTTCCTCCACCTGCACTGCGCACTTCTATCAAAAGGATCCACCTGTCACGTGTGTGCGCGCCTCTATGTTGCTTGGTAACGAGCGTACGGTGGCCGAGACGGTTTAACAGTCTTCTCACGATGTGGCGCGTGAACTATAGTTGAAATGCGTGAGGCTTCAGAACCTGCAATGAGTTTATTACGTTAGATGTGTTTGGAGAAGCCTGTAACGGAGCGTCTCATCCAGCCGAGGAAACGCTGCCTGCCGTCACCAGAGAACAGAGCAGAAAGGTCCGCATGGATCTCTGCTGGTCGACAGTCTGCCGAACAGCCCCGAGCTGTTAAAAGGGTCTTCATCTCCACACACACAATTTTGCACACAGGTGCTCATGTATTTGGCTCACTGCCATCAGAAGTTATTAAAAGCTTGTTGATATCTCATTGGGTTTCGAAGTTATGGACTAATGAAGGTTGTGGGGGGAGTGGCCTAAACATGAAAGACCTATAACTTCAAAAGTATTTGGCTTGTCGTTGTAATATTTGTAGGTGAAGGAAGGGCACACGGAGACAGGGAGAAGATACGTCTGCTTGCCGTTTACTTATAACTCGAATGCCGGTATACAGATAGTGAAGTGGCTCATACAGATACCGGAATTACCTTAATACTATGGCCAACATTACCGTAGTATATGTGAACTACTACACTCCTCCCTCCTAGATTATAACATATATAGCCAGACTACATACTTCATTGCATTAGTCATTCCTTAAACTACATATGCCGGGTTCAATTAACAGTAACATACCCTAAACTTCATAACATAACAGTAAGCAGTCTGAACATAATTACTGACTAAATAAGTCATTATCTCTACATGAACATTTAGAGATTCAGTCTTTCTGGTGCTGTTCGCAGTCTTTCAGGATAGCGGCGCTCCGGTTGAGCTTCCGGAGATGCACCAGCAGCTGCATCTTCTTGCTCCGTGCTTTCTGCTTGGTCCTCAGAGCTTGCTGTGCAGTCCAGGAAATCGCTGTCATCCATTCTGCTTGGACGTGTTGAAGCTTTAGATGCCCGAAGGTGATCCACATGTACCTTGACTTGGTGTTGACCTATTTGCACTACATAGGTCAGAGGTCCTTTCCGTTGCAGAATTTCCCCTGGAATCCACAGTTTCTTAGGACGTCTGAAATCTCGAACTAACACCCTCTCTCCCAGATTAAACATCCGGAGAGGCTTTGCCCGCTTGTCATGAGCCTTTTTCTGTTGTAGCTGATGCTTGACCACCACTTCGGAGATGTCCGGCTTCAGTAATGACAGGCGAGTGCGTGGTTGTCTTTTCAGGAACAATTCAGCCGGGGTGCGTTCAGTGACTGTGTGAGGAGTGTTTCGATATGTGAACAGGAACCGAGCAAGCCGTAGATGGGGTGACACAGACTGTGCTTCCAGTCGTGTCCAGGCTTTCTTGAAAGTCTGTACCGCTCGTTCCGCTGCTCCGTTAGACGCAGGATGGTAAGGTGGTGTGAGAACATGGTGTACTCCGTTATTCTTGAGAAACTGCTCAAACTCCGTCGATGTAAAGGGAGGGCCATTGTCTGACACAAGCACCTTTGGCAGACCATATGACGCAAAGAGGTTCCTGAGAAGATTTGCAGTCTTCTCTGCTGTTGTTAGTTGTGTAGGCAGGACTTCTAGCCATTTGGAATAGACATCTACTACCACCAGGTAGTGCTGCTTGTTGATTTCAGCGAAGTCCACATGTATTCTTTCCCACGGTGTTGTAGCCCATGACCAAGGATGAAGAGGTGCTGCAGCAGGTCTGTTCAGTGTAGTCTCACACGCTGCACACTGACTCACGTGATTCTCTATCTCTTGGTCTAGTGCAGGCCACCACAGGAAACTTCTGGCTAATGCCTTCATCCGTGTCATTCCTGGATGTCCCTCATGCACATCTGACAGAAGACGCTGCCTGAACTTCGGCGGTATAATTACCCTTGACCCCCAAATAATACATGCCTGGTCTGTAGACAACTGGTCCTTCCTCAAGTAAAATGGCTTGAGCTCTGGATTGGGCACAAACCTTGGCCATCCTGACAATGTCAGATCCAGGACCTTAGAGAGGATTGGGTCAAGTCTAGTCTCTTCTGCTATGTCTCTGGCGGACACGGGCAACTGCTCAACATGGGACACACAGAAGGCTTCATTCTCACCTGTGCTTTCATCAACGTCATGCTTGCATGGAAGACGTGACAACGCATCTGCATTGGCGTGGTCACTGGAACGTCTATACTGGATGTCATAGTCATATGCCAGTAGGATTAAGGCCCAGCGTTGCATGCGGAGTGCAGCAAGAGTTGGAACTGCTGATTTGGGGCCTAATATGGTCAAAAGTGGCCTGTGGTCGGTCAAAAGCACAAACTTCCTTCCATACAGGTACTTATGGAATTTCTTGACACCGAATATTATGCTCAATGCTTCTTTTTCAATTTGAGCATAATTTCTCTCACTTGATGAAAGAGTCCTTGATGCAAAAGCAATTGGTTGCTCTTCACCAGAGGGTAGCACGTGCGAAATTACTGCACCAACACCATATGGACTGGCGTCACATGCTAGCCTAAGAGGCTTCTCTGGGTCATAGTGTGCAAGACACTTACTGTTCAGGAGACGCTGTTTGCAGGCTTTGAATGCGTCTTCACATTTCTCTGACCATGTCCATGGTGTGTCTATGTGTAGCAGCTGGTGAAGTGGATGCAGTAATGTAGATACATTTGCCAAGAACTTTCCATAATAATTAAGCAATCCCAGGAATGATCTTAGCTCTGTCACATTCTGTGGAGCTGGTGCGTTTACTATGGCTTCTACCTTGCTTGCTGTTGGGTGAAGTCCTTGTACATCAATTCTGTATCCGAGGTACTCCACTGAATCTTGCAAGAATGCACACTTTGATTTCTTGATCCTTATTCCATGCTTTTCCAGCCTTTTCATTACTTCATCTAATATTGCTAAATGTCTTTCTTTTGTAGGCGCTGAGACAAGAATGTCATCCATAAAGCACACTACATTCTCCATTCCATGAAGGATTTGGTCCATTGTGTGTTGGAACACTGCCGGAGCTGTGGAGACACCGTAGGCCAGACGGTGGTATCTGAAGAGGCCCTTGTGTGTGTGTATCGTCAGATACTGCTCTGATTCTGGATCAAGCTGCAATTGTTGATAAGCGAAGGACAGGTCAAGTTTACTGAAAACTATTCCGCCAGCCAAAGTAGCAAATAAGTCCTCAGCGTTTGGTAGAGGATATTCCTCTGGGAGTATGCATCTATTCACAGTCACTTTGTAGTCACCGCACAATCTCACAGTCTTGTCTTTCTTTGGTACTACGACGATAGGTGCAGCCCAATCACTCCTTTCCACTTGTGTAATGATTTCGTTCTTCTGTAAGCGCTCAAGTTCTTTTTCCACTGCTTCCCTCAACGCATAAGGTACTGGTCGTGACTTGTGGAAGATGGGTTTGGCATTGCTCTGCACTCTAATCTTTGCTCTGAAGTCTTTAATCTTCCCATATCCATCCTTGAACAAGTCTTTGTGCTTTTCAAGCATGTCTTGCAGTGTGAGATCTTGCCCCAGTTCAGCTTTATCTTCTGCAGCCAATTTCTTCCCAGCAATGGCGGTTTACTGCCTTTAACCACCACAAGTGGCAACTTCCACTCTTGTTCCCCATACTTCACCGGCACCAGGACCTTCCCCAGCACAGGTATGATATCTCCTGTGTATGAAGACAGGTGAATGGCAGCTGGTTTTAGTGGGCAATTCTTCAGTTGCTCCTGATAAAGGGACTCTGGAATCAAAGATACTGAAGCACCCGTATCCACTTGCATTTTCACTGGTTTCCCAGATAACTCCATGCTGACAAAAATGCCGTCTTTCTTTCCTTGTGCAGTGTATACTGTAAACAATTCCAGCTCATCGTCATCACCATC